TTCGGGGGGGCCGAGATACAAAGATATAAGATACCCGGGCAAGCGGATAGGATGCGGCGGGGTGTGGTTTTTGTTTCTGTTTGTTTTATTGTGTGTTGGGTGGTGTGTGTGGGTTGGTTTGTTGGCATGCGTGCTTCTGTGTATTTGGCGTTTGTGGGTTTGGGTTGGTGGTACCTATGTATGTGTGGGCAGTTGGGGGGATATCGAGATATACATGGGCGGGGGTCAACGGGAACTGGGGAAGGGCAAGATGGAAAACAATGGAAAGTGACGGGGGCTGGGGGAAGCAATGAAATGGCGTTTTTTGGGGGTGAGGGTTGGATGGTGAAGCAGTCGGCGTAGTGTGTATGTATGTACCTGTGATTATTATCTTGACGGTAGTTGATGATGACAGGAGCGCGTGTAACAATTCCGGTTTGTTTTGTGCATCATGAACCACCAAGGACACTCGAAAAACGAGGTGAGAATACGTTCCACTGCTGTACATGTATTTTCCCAGTATTCGTATACTCGATGATAACGCATGGAGACGTGCAGACCATATTTAGACGGCACAATAAGCATCACCCATCTTGATAATTTCCATGCGTCCTGCTGCCGTTCGTTGAACAGCTCGCTGTGGTAGACATTTGACCAATGGACTTCCCAAGAATAATTTGTCGTCACATCCTTCGAAGCATTGAGCGTTCTCCCAGAGCATAAGAGGTGGGACATTGCAAGACAATAATTCACGAGTCAAACGATTGGGACAGGAACAGCAAATTGAGTTTTGAGGACATCATATTGTATTAGACTAGTTGTTTGGGTAACCAAAGGATCAATGCCGTCAAGACACCTGAAAGAAAAGGTTAGCCGATGCCACTTCAAATATCATCATCACAAGCAACAGTGACTGTCTGTCCGTCAGACATCCAAGGAAGGATTCGCTCTCATTTGTCCAGAAAAGGCTCTTTTAGGACTCGAGTGGAAACTGCGAATGTAGGGAAAATTTCATCATACGGAATTGGGGAGGACGAAGAAAATGGTGAACTAACTTTGTGGTTGATGTTGCGAGGTTTGCTACAGGTTAGCAAATGTTGGGAAGAAGGCAGACATTTATGCTGGGTGAAAACTGCTCTCGAAGATTCTGCTGTTGCCGGGTCAGCGACCAAGTCCATGGGAAAAAAAACAGCAACAGTGGAGTCTGAGCTCCACCAAGTGGAAAGCATGGGAACGTCATCCGCCGTGTCAGACAAAAATACTGGCAAGTAGCAGGTCCCTCCCGTAGGAGAGAACCCGAGACAAATCTTCGTTCATGGTCGATTCAGTTGGGATATGAAGACATGAATTGAGTTGTCATCATCCAGCGGCGGATGGCGTAGGCGTGAAGGGTTAGAAAAACAAAAAACAAGTAGGTGGCTTACCTTCTTCGAGTTTGCAGCTGCTTTGTCGCTCAGGTGGCCAAAACCAATGCTGAGCCGACCTCTCCCAACCAACCCAACCTCGCTTGCTTCGTTCGGGACCACAAATTAATGCGCTGGGCAAATGTAAACCGGCGATGACGCTCGACAACCCGCGGCCGCGGTTGCGGCGACCCTCAGAAGCAAGTCGGAGTGGGAAGGTTTGGAAGGTGAGAAGTGAAGAGAAAATTCAAAATCGTCGCTGCCACGCGAAGAAGAAATACCCATCGCGGTGATAGCGATAAGGGAAAAAAAATCGAGATTTCAAAGCCACGTGATATATAACTAGCGTGCCGGATTAGCAAGCGGGGTCTTCCAAAACACTCCCGGGCGGGGACAATGGAGCCTCTCGACAGAACCACCAATCGGTGCCCAGCTCCGGGCCCAGGCTCGTAACACTACCAAACTTGGGCATCCCGATTGCAGGAGTGGTATCCAAATCAACAAACTGCCGTATACAGGATGCGCGACCTGCATAGAAATAAAGGTGACCTGTGCTTGGTTCATTTTTTGAATACAAACCATGAGGATCAATCTTTCCCATCATGGGCAGACAGGAAACGAATTCTTCACAGTGCGGCTTTCAAATTCTTCCGGCCCAGCCGTAGAGGTGGCACGGGCCCAAGACGTCAAATCAGCCCACAGTCAAAAGCACCCCCGATCCCCCCCCAAAGAATCGATTCCCCGCCAAGCCTCTCGCAACCTTTCGACGCCTCACTTTAGTCCCCTGATTCCCATTTCTCTACCAATTCGACATAACGGTTATTGTGGTTCGAGGCCGGGACCACAATCTCATTCTTAAATCCTAAAGTTACAATACTTCATTCACCATATTTGCAAAATTTGTCTGTCGCTAAAATTTGTGTTTACCGAAAGGTGACCGAACGGCTTAAAGTTTCGACGTTCTGCCGAAAGAGCCACCCCAATTTTCATCAATCGGGCGACCGCTTTTGCACCCACGAACCCAGTCCGCTCACTCTTGGTCCCCTACCTTAATCTTGCCAATCCCAACCCCCCGTCCCCCAAACTCCACAGTCCACCTCCCACCGCGACACGTCGTTGCCGCAGTTGTCGATCTCGCCCAAACGTCCGCCCAACTTCTCGACGAACTCTGTGGTCGCATAATCATTACGCGCAATTCTTTCTTCTCAATATCACTGCCGCCTGCGCTACCAGGTTTTTTCTCTCTCCCAACTGTCCCACCGGGGACGTCGCATAACCCGCGACCGGGCTATCGTCAGAACCACCCGCGACACCTCCCAACAATCCGCGCCACGGTCGCAATCGCTCTTTCGGTTTCTACTTACGGTCATTCGGCGCTGCTTGGCGGTGACGCGACCGTCTCGCCACTTTGCACATTCCCGGTCCGGCTCCGACGAAGGTAGAGCCCTCAACCGCACATTCGACGATTCGCGTCCAGCTTGGCATGCGATAGAGCAGGAGGACATTGGTTCGATATCCGCTTGGTGGGTAACTAGCAGCTCTAGAGGTGATGGCTAGTATGGGGCCAGGTTTTATGCCGCACCCTGGCGGAATGCAGCAACACCCAGGCGGCCCCCCGGGGCATCCTATGGCTCCCGGTATGGCGCATAACCCAAGCCAGCCTGGCACGAGTGCGGGCGGAATACCGCACCAGCTTGTTGGGCACATGGGGGTCTCCAATTCCGGCCCTCAGATGAGCGCTGCCGCCCTCATGGGAGGCATGCCACCAGGGAACCCAAACGCCCACGCCATGCAACACTTGAGTCAGGCACAAGTCCAGCAGATGTACTACCCTCAAATGGGCAAATGTCGTAGGTACATTGTAATTCTTTGCGTGCACTCGCACCCGAAGGTGTGCTAACCGCAATTCTCAGACGCCGCGAACAACCAGCAGCTTCAACAACAACAGAGGCTCCAGCAGTTGCAACACCAGCAGCAAACAAGAGCGGCGTTGATGGCTCAGCACGCCATGTTTAATGGGGGTCAAATGGGTGTACCCATGAATCAGATGACCCAAGCACAGGCTGCCCACATGGCGGCGATGGGCAGGAGGATGCCGGTAGCTTCCCCCTTCCACTTCCAACAGGCGCAATTAGCTCAACAGCACCAACAGCAGGGCCAACCCATGAACGTAAGGCAGCCTCGGCCGCATTGGATCTCTTGATTTGTAGCAAAATGCGTAGGTTCGGCGAGTGAATGTCATGCTAACAAACATCTCTAGCCCAACATGCTCGCCGCCCAGCAGATCGCAATGCAGCAACAGCAGATACAGATGGGACAACAAGGAGGGAACCCGAACCAGCATCCTATGGCTTCGCAACACCTCAACATACACCAGGCCCAGATGGCCGCGATTCAACACGCCCAGCACTCGCAGGCTCAGCAGTCCCAGCAGGCCCAACAGGCTCAACACCAAGCGGCGCAACAAGCAGCACAGGCTCAACAGGCCCAACAAGCCCAGCAAGCCCAGCAGGCTCAGCAGGCTCAACAGGCCCAGCAGGCTCAGCAAGCTCAGCAGGCCCAGCAGGCACAACATGCTCAACAAGCTCAGCAGGCCCAGCAGCAAGGGCCGGGACAGCAACAACAACCACAACAGCCCCAGCCCCAGCAACCGCAACAGCAGCCTACTCCTGGGCAACCACCGCAACAGCAAGGGCCGGGTTCGCAACCTGGGCAGTCCGGACCTGGACCGAATACACCGGCGCCGCCGACTCCCGGTCCCCAAGGCCATACACCACAACCTAACCCTCAACAGCAACCACCGCAATCCCAACAGCAGCCGCAGCAGCAACAGCCGCCCCAACAACAACAGCAACAGCCGCCTCAGCCGCAGCAGCAGCAAACTCAGGTCGTGCCGCAGACTCCTCAAACTACGCAATCACAGCACCAAGCTCAGTTGATGGCTCAGATGCAGGTGCAAGCACAAGCACAAGCGCAGCAACAACATGCTATACAAGCACAAAGGAGGGATCCCCCCCTGGGCCTAAAGGGCATGTGTTTGCTGAAGCTGATGCAATTCAGCGAGCACCTCAGCGGGTTTACGGTATGTTGGCGCGCCCACTAGCGATGCTCTGTATTTAAACTGACACCTCATCAGGGCGTCAAAGGTCGGGACGACTTGGAGTACTGGAACAACTTCGTCAAGCGTTTCTTCTCACACAAGGGCGCATTTAAGCACTCGATTCTCATCAGAGATGGCGAGGATCAAGTTCAACATAAGCATTATGAGATTGCATATCCCGCGATTGCGCGGTACTTCCACACCCATTTTGATAGCGGGGTCAAGTCGATGCAGTTGGTCATGGACAAGGGGACAACAGACCGGATAATGCCCAACGACTGCCACTTGATATGGAACGATAAAGCGAGCCTGGTCTATTGGTTTGAGGACGGCGCACACGTGAGTTTTACGCCCAAGGCACTAGAGATCATCTGTTGACAATTTGGAACAGCTTGTCGCGACTGGCACTCTCCGTGTTCACTTTGACAGCGATCACAAGTTCGATATCTTCGACTTTGAGACGACAGGCCACGAGGAGTACGTCTCGAGACGACTGGTGATTCAAGCTGCCAGACCGTCGCACAACTGGGTCAAGGAGTGGCGCAATCTCAACGCCCAAGATCCCAAGCAATCTCCCGAGATGAGCAAAAAAAGCAAACCAAAACCAGCCAAGGCACCCCCTGGGCCTCCGCCCGACATCGAGCTTCCTCACTCCGTGGTCAAGAGCGGTATGGGGATCACGGAGGCTGTGTATCAGTTTCTTGAGGTACCATCGGTTCGCATCGCCCCCGCCTTGTCGATACAGCACTGACTCTTAACAGATGGTCGAGATTATGGGCCAGATGGGCCCGCTGTTTGGTTACTATCATGCTCACCCTGGGTTGGCGCCATATGCCGCGCTTGATCAGTACCTCAACCAGGTCAACGCCGGCGGTCAAGCCATGAACGGCCAGCCCATGCCACAAGGCGGGCCGAGAACTCCCGGGTTTGGCCAATTCCAGGTTGGCGCGAGCCCCGCCATGGCCAACCAGATGTTGCCGGGCTCTCCTCATATGGTCGGCAGTCCGGTCCCAGTACCGATGTCGGCACCAATGATGCAGCTCCAGGCGAGTCAACAGGGCACCAATTCCAGTGGACCGAGCGCCAACACGTCGCCGGCACAGAACAGCAATAAAAGGCGGAGACCATCGACGGTGAAGGCTGAGGAGGATGCGCCCGCATCAGCTCCGACGCCCGTGCCTATTGGAACTCCGCAGCTGAACGGAGTCCAGATCAAGGGGAAGCCCCCAACTCCTCGCATGCCGAAACGGCACAAGACCGGAAACAATCCGGTATAACAGATTTTTACCGGTTATCTCATGAGTGGAAGGTTTCTCTCCCAATAATCGATGTTGGACGACTCTCCTGGCATATCACGTCTGCGGTTGCGTTTAGACAGGGCTAGATTCTATAGCCCGGTACCAGAATCGGCACGATCGCGTTGGCTCCTAACCTGGGCGGGATATTCTTGGGGAATCCCTAACCTCCCAAACCTGTGGAGCCGGATCCAAACACGCGTCGTTGCTCTGGGAGTACTATTATTATGGTGTCATCTTGGCGTTAGGATCAGGGGATCTTAATACCGCTGTTGTTATTGTTTTTTTTGCTTTGGACATGATTTGGAATCGGTTGTTTTCTGGGCGGAAGGGCTGGAGTCAAAACCAATCTGATCTTGTTCTCATGAGTTTAAGGTTTCATCTTGCTCGACCATGCTCATAGTCCTTTTCCTTTTCTATGGTTTCTTCCCTCCCTTTTTTGTTTTACCGGTGGTGGTCCAGCTAAGAGCATTTTCTGGAATCAGGCCCTTCATATACCCCCATTTTCATTCTTCATCCCCTATTCTATCCACACCACATATCCCCACCCCATGCGTTATGCACACTATTTATTTCTTTTCACCGCCAGAGGTGTGTTTATTTATGTTTTATCCCTCCCCTCAACTCACAATTAACGAGCAATCTCGCTCCTTAACCGAAGACGGGGCAACGGTCACGCGTCGGGTGCTTATCACAATACAGCATCATCGCCACCTCCGCGGCAAGGGGAGGGGGGAGGAGGATAACCTATGGACGTCTTGTTTGAACCCCTCCGATTCTCGTGTGCGGGCTCGCCACGGTCCATACATACGCTGGAGGGTCCAAGCTCTTCATTTTCTTTTCTATTTTCCTTCTTTTGATATTAGGTGGCGCAGCATCTCAAAATCCATGCAGCAAGGAAGACGAGTCAATGATGGATGGTTTGGCGGTGGTTAATGAACAGCGGTGGAGTGGCAGGGGAGGACGGGGTGGCTTGCAGAAGGGGCATCGTGCCTCGTCTGTTGTCTATCATCAACCAGAAAGAAAAAAGCAGGGGGGCGGAAGGTGGGAGGAGTCTGGCGTGGTGGCATTGCTTTGGTCGTTCCTATGTAAACTAGTTTTTGTTTTATTGCTTGGCCTTTCAGGCGATGCCCGTCTGGTTTATTTGCTAGCATTACAGCCTGCTTATTGCATCAAACGTGGTTCTACAGTTATGCTTGCTTCGCCAGGCAGGTGTGATGGTGCTGGGGGCTTCGAGCAAGTTCACTACCTAGGTATTTACTGACCGTTTTTTGATCCGCCAGATAGAAACTCAGATCATTCATTTGGTTGCCCCTTTTCCGGCCGTGCTGGTATCTCCAAAGCGAAGACTTCGAAAACAAAATAAAACCTTCACCCTAGACTAGATAGGCGGAGTTTCTTGTATAAAGGCCTATATTTATGGGGGAACAGTCAACAACTACCTTGAGAAAATACTCTAAACAAACGCTATTCCTCAAAATCACAGAGTCGGAGCCGGACATCCTTGTGTGACTGTGTGCTCACAATTACCTAGCTTATTACCTGGTTACAACTTGTACAGATGGAGATGTTGTAGTTTCGAGTCACGGGAGGCGGTAGTCATGTGGCTTGAGAACGAGGAGTCATCCACTCTTCTCGGCGTCAGAGTCACCATCCGGGTCGGCAGCATTTCAATAGGTTTAGTTTACCGGATAACTTGACCGAAGCGCACCACATGTTGATTCGTGAGAGGGACACGTCAAGCGGCCTGCCAAAAAAAAGATACGAAGGGCACACTGAACACGCCCCCCTCAGACGGCGAATCACGACACGTGTGATCCTCAAATTCTACTGTTGATTGACTGCCTAACGAGCTATTTCCTCATCCAGTGTCCCGGCGTATCCACCATGCCGTGCCAAGTCGGGGACCGGGCCTGACCCACTCCCGGCCGGAGCTCCCAGCACATGTAGGCCGAAGCGGCCTTTGTGTGAACATGGGGGCCCACGGTCCGGTCCAGCTTGCATTATAGGGTCAACATGAAGACGCAAGGTCGGCAAAGATGATAAAGTGGCTTTGCGGCATGAACCAGGAGAGATCTGACAACCGTGAACCAAGTCGGCAGGGAGTCGTTCTCCCTCACCGCCTGATCACTACCTGGCCGAGCGCGTTGTGATGTGTAGATTGTTATCCCGTCCTCAGGTCCTCATAGCCACGCGGCCGCTGCCGAGAAAATCCGGCAAAAAAGGAAAAGGCAGTGTATGATAGTCCAGTCCCAAAGAATCCCTCATTCTCGAGTCTTCCCAAACCAATAGCCGAAAACGCCGCTAACACATTAAAATGCAAGAATAAAGTCGAGGGTTCCTGACTCAGGCAGTTTCGAAGTTTCCGAAGGTGTTCTCGCCCGAGTATGTGATGTAAAGAAACCTGTAATGGGACACTGTTAGCATCTTGTGCAAAGCGGTGGGCCGTATGACCGGCGGGAACGACTCACCCGTCTTCATCCTTGTGTTCCTCGTAGATGCTGCTCATGAGCGCGGCGGTGGGCGGCAGGACCTCGTCGACGAAGATGAAGATGGCCTTCTCCGGGGAGAGCTTGATCCGCTTCCGGATCACGTACACGAACTGGCCGACGGTGAGGTCGGAAGGTACGAGGTACTTTTTCTTATCGATCGTAGCGATGTCACTCTTCTCGACCTTCTCACAGATGACCTAGATCGCGCGAAGATGTCAGTAATCTGTTGTGTGCTGGTTGTCGCGCGGACGGTCGGGGAGAGCGACGGGCTTCGGCGGGGTTCTCCGTGAACCGTCGAACCGGTGCTTCACCGCCTGTAGAGGATAACTTACAGGAATGCGATCCGCATATTTCTGGCGAATGCGTTCGGCCTCGGCCTTGCGCTTCTCGAAGGGGTGCTCGTCCTTAAACTTGCTACGCATTTTGATGATTTTGTGATTGATAGATCAATAGACTGAGGGATGTTGATGCGAGGGTGCGGTTCTCAGTGATGGCTGAACGGAATGTTAGCGACGTTGTTTCTGCGAGAGACTGGGTGCCGAGTGAATTTATGATGGGCGAGCGTCGGATTGTGGATGTACCTTTGTTGTCGAGCGAGAAGGGCGGAGGCTGTTGGAAGAAGGAGGTCGAGGTTCTGAGTTGCGTCCGCTGGCGCCTTGATAAACGGCGGCTTGGGGGGGGGTGCCGAGTCGCACGGCACAGTTGGTGGAAGGCGGGGCTGACTTGATGACGAATGGGGAGGGAGCAGACCAGCCGCATCAGGATTGGCGTGGCTGGAGCCTTGGATGAATCAGTCGGCCTGTTCACATGGGCTTCGAGAGGCCGGCTGAGGCCAGGTGCTTGCCACTTTGCTTGTTCAGCGAGCTCAGCTGCCTCAATTTGATGGGGCTTCCTTCGGTGATTGACCCCCTGATCAAAGCGAGCTATGGTGTTATTAAATTATGATGCACATAGGTGACTAAATACTAACTACCGGGCGGAAGACTTGGCCAAAATTAGTACTCTCATTAGCACAGGGCGTATTGTCCTTTGGGTCAGACCGGACGGATTAGTCCGCGGCTGTAGCCGCTCGATAGTTAAGTCGGTCGTGTTTCGATCCGCTTCCTCTATGACATCACTAGGTAGTTTTCCTTCTACACATTATATTTTGTGGATGCCGTCAAATGTGATGGAGTAGCTTCGGATAGCTGCTTCGCTTCTCCAATGCCGCTAAGTCCACCCCGCGGCGGTGCGGGTTTAATCGCCGCGCCCAGACCGAACCGGGGCCGGACTGTTTTGGCACAGGCAAAGGTTCCGCTCCTCTGGGTCACTTTCGAGCTTTGGATTTTGGGGGAAACATCTGATTTTGACAGCGGAATCAGCCGAGCGAGGCGCCGGATCTTGCAGGAACAGCGGGTTCGAAGAGAGAACCCCATCGGCGTGCGCCGGTTTCTTGATTACCGTATTCGGCAAGTGGCCTTATGTCTGCGCCCATAATCGTCTGATTGTTTTCCTCGAGTTCGGCATCTTCCCGCTACGTAGTCGCCGTGCATAAGACGCCGCTGCGATGGCTTCCCGGCGTCCAGCTCTCCGTCTTCTTGCGCAATGCAAGTCGCGCAGTCAATCGAGGAGTACACTGGCTGCCAATGCCAATTGGGTCTCTCGGAGAGCTTTGTCAAGTTTCCCTAGCACTAGCACTCCAGATCAAGCCCTCGCACCACACAGGAGGTACCTGGGCTGGATCGCCTTTGGTCTCTTGATCGCGGCGCCGCTCACGTACAAGATGGTATGCTTCGGCGCATGGCGGAATTCCTATCCCATTGCGAACAGTTTGGCTAACACCTCTCCTGCGCAGGCGGTCGACGAACCCCTCCGGATGGACACCCCGACTCTTGCCGAGCGCGACCAGCAGCTCAAGACGGAGCAAGGCGTTTCCGACGTTTCCCCCATGCGCCTCCGTATGGAGAAGTTCGCCAAGGAGCAGCAGAAGGCCATTGTACGGGCTCTGGAAGAGGTGGACGGCACCCGGTTTCGAGTGGACGAGTGGCAACGCAAGGAGGGCGGCGGCGGCATCACCTGTGTCCTCCAGGATGGTAAAATCTTTGAGAAGGCCGGTGTCGGTGTCAGTGTCGTCTATGGCACTCTACCGAAGCCAGCCATTCTCAAGATGCGCGCAAACCACAAGAACATCGCCGACGAGAACAACATCCCCGACAGCCTCGAGTTCTTCGCCGCAGGGCTCAGCTTGATCGTGCACCCGAGGAACCCCATGGCGCCGACGGTACACCTCAACTACAGATACTTTGAGACAGCCAACCCTGACGGGTCGTCGGGCGCGTGGTGGTTCGGCGGCGGCTGCGATCTCACACCGAGCTACCTCTTCGACGAGGACGCAGTACAGTTCCATAAGTCGCTAAAGGATGTGTGCGACAAGCACGACAAGGGCTACTACCCGAAATTCAAGAAGTGGTGCGACGAGTATTTCTACAACAAGCACCGCGGCGAGTCGCGGGGCATCGGGGGTATCTTCTTTGACGATCTCGACGAGACGGTTTCGGACCGAGAGAACCTATTCGCCTTCGTCCAGGACTCGCTCAAGTCATTTTTACCGACTTACATTCCTATCGTGAACAAGCGTAAGGATATGGCGTTTACCGAGCAAGAGAAAGAGTGGCAGCAGATTCGCAGGGGCAAATACGTCGAGTTCAACTTGGTGCACGACCGAGGGACTGCGTTTGGGTTGAATACGCCGGGGGCTCGTGTAGAGAGTATTCTGATGAGCTTGCCCCTCACGGCAAGCTGGAAGTACATGTACGAGCCAGAGCCGAAGAGCAGAGAGGCACGGCTGGTTGAGGTGTTGCAAAACCCTAAGGAATGGGTATAGACTAGGGAGAAGCGAGGCGTTGTGTTGATCGTTTGAAAATGTATTTTAGGCATGATAGAAGTGTATTTAGGCCTTTTTTTCATGTTCACTATGCTGCGTTGCTGTTATGAGTGCTGCCTGAGGACGATTCCTTGTCACTCTTCCATCTTGGTCCCGCATCAACTCAACCTCGAACTATACAACAAAAGTCACATTACAACAATCCCCCCACTCAATCTTCCAACTCAACTCCCACCCGTCACGAAGATAATGGAATCCCTCCCATTACAACCCTCCAACCCCCCAACGGAACCCACAACCACAACCACAACCATAACCCCAACCCGCGCCCTCCTAACCACCCTCCTCAACGCCATCGCCGCCATCCCCCTCACCCCATCCCAAACAACCCAACCACCCCCAACCAGAGCAGCAGCACCACCACCAACAACAGCAACCGCCAGCAGAGCAGAACAAAGAGGGGGGGGCCAACCCGCCCACGAAAACCCCCTCCGCCGCGTCCCCGCCTCTCACCGCCACCTGATCGTCACCCTGCACGTGCTCTTCCCGGGGCTGGTGCTGCCTGCGCTGGACCTGCTGGAGCGCGGGTTTGTGGCGCGCGTGGCGCTGGCTGGGTCTGGGACGGATTCTGGTTTGGGTGGTGGTGTTGTGGGGGCTAGTAGTGGTAGTGGCGGGGGGTTCGTGGGGGATGGTGGGAAGGGGGATGGGAATGGTGAAAAGGGAGATGGTGTGGGAGGAGAGGGGGGTGGTGGTGTTGTTGCGGGGTGTGGAGAGGCGCCGGCGCCGGGGCGGTGGTTTCGGAAAG